CATTTTCCTAGATGCCATATGTATGTGCTAATATACAGCATCTGTCGTTCTCTTTCTGACTTACTTCACTCTGTATAATAGGCTCTGCGTTCATCCACCTCATTAGAAGTGAGTTAAATGTGCTCCTCTTTATGGCTGAGTAATGTTCCACTGTGTCTATGCACCACGCCTTCCTTGTCCATTCCTTTACTGAGGGACACACAGGTTGCCTCCGTGTCCTAGCGATTGTAAACAGTGCTGCAATGAACTTTGGGGTACACGTGACTTTTCCAATTCTGGCTTCCTCAGAGTCTATGCCCAGTAGTGGGATTGTGACAACCGAGAGGGGTGGCATGGGGAGGGAGGGGGGCGGGGGTTCAAGAGTGAGGGGACATAGGTATACCTGTGTTTGATTCACGTTGATGCATGGCAGGAACCAGCACCACATTGTTAAGTAATCATCCTCTAATTTCAAAAAAATTACTGAATCCTGGACAGAGGCTGTGGGAACCCCCAACTGTAGCCCCGCTGGACAGAAGGATGGGTAACCTGGGGACCTGATGCTCTTCACTGGTCTCTGCAGTTGGGGGGGGGGCGGGCAGTCTTGTGGGCCTGAGCCTTTAGCCTGTGGTGTCTGGTACTAACTCCAGGAAGTCTCAGAATTAAATCAAATTGTAGGATGCTCAGTTGGTACTGGAGAGCTGGAGACATGGCTGATGGAGTTGGAAAAGACACCACCTATTTGATGCCAGGAGGAAAAAAGACCCTCAATTACCACCTCCAAATTGATGCTCTACAATTCACACATGGAAGTAAAAGATGCTTGCACCTTAGAAGACAAGCTATGACAACATATTAAAAAGCAGAGATATTACTTTGCCAACAAGGAACCATCTAGTCAAAGCTAAGATTTTTCCAGTAGTCATGTATGGATGCAAGAGTTGGACTACAAAGAAAGCTGAGCGCCGAAGAATTGAAGCTTTTGAACTGTGGTGTTGGAGAAGACTCTTAAGAGTCCCTTGGACTACAAGGAGATCCAACCAGTCCATCCTAAAGGAGATCAGTCCTGGGTGTTCATTGGAACGACTGATGCTGAAGCTGAAACTCCAATACTTTGGCAACCTGATGTGAAGAACCGACTCATTGGAAAAGACCCTGATGGTGGCAAAGATTGAAGGCAGGAGGAGAAGGGGACGACAGAGGAGGAGATGGCTGGATGGCATCACCAACTCGATAGACATGAGTTTGAGCAAGCTCTGGGAGTTGATGATAAGACAGGGAAGCACGGCAGTCCGCGGGGCCATAAAGAGCAGGACACGACTGAGCAACTGAATGGAACTGAAGTGAATGCACACAGGTGTGACACAAAGTTTGGCGGGTGTCTATTCAACTGGTTAGTCCCCGAGCAGAAGCACTGTTTGGTGAATCTCCCTTGCATGTTACCAAAGGCCTTTGGGAGTCTTAGATTGAATCATGCTCCTGAAACCCCTCACAGGGCTAGGCACACAGTAAGCGCTTCATAGGGCTTCCCTGGTCGCTCAGACAGTAAAGAATCTACCCGCAATGTGGGAGACTCAAGTTCAACCTCTGGGTCAGGAAGATCCCCTGGAGAAGGGAGAGGCAACCCAATCCAGTCTTCTTGCCTGGAGAATCCCATGGACAGAGGAGCCTGGCAGGCTTCATGGCGTCACAAGAATCAGACTACTCACTGAGTGACTAACACTCATTTTTCTTTCAAGCACTTGATAAGTGGCCATCAATACTGGAAATACATGGAGTCGCAGAGTCGGACACGATTGAGCGACTGAACTGAACTGAACTGAATACTGGAAAGAAAGCAAGCAGGCCGATACTGTATAAAATCCTGCAACTCTGTGAAAAATAATTCCCAAGAAATAATCTGCTCACTTTTCATAAGGGTCCTTTGTCCTTAATTTTTAAATGGAATTTTTAATTTTAGGCTAACTAGTCATTACGTCCAGGCACTTTAAGTAAAATGACTTTGAGCAAACTCATCATAATGGATCCATTCACTGAAAGAGCCGGTTGTGAGGTTCACTGATTCCAGATGAGCGGACATTAGGTACGTCGGTTTCTTACTATTAATGGCAAAACTTATGCTAAGAACTGCACAGATCTGACTCTCCCCTGGGCAGTGGTCTCCTAAATGGAGCAGGAGGTCAGCGAGACGTCTACCCAGGGCCCACGATTTCAGGAGGCACCCCCTCTCAGCTCCTGCAGGTGCAGAGTCAGCACCCAAGAGGGAGCATCTCCTTGAGACTGGTGCTTCCCTCGGCTCCCCCTGGCCCCAGCCCTGGCGCCTACTCTCCCCAAAGTAAGCAAAGGAGATCAGTGGGAGGTGGAAACACAAGAAACCAAATGTACCTCTATGTTCATCTATAAATAAGAAACTGAACTCCTTCAGTGCAATAAGGCTTTATCTTTCCATCAAATATAAACAACTACTGCAATAGGTTGAACTGTTTCCATCACGCAACCCTCCATGGTGGTGTTGCTCAGGTGCTCAGTCGCATCCGACTTTTTGCGACCCCATGGACTGCAGCATGCCAGGCCTCCCTGTCCATCACCAACTCCCGGAGTTTACTCAAACACATGTCCAAGGAGTCAGTGATGCCATCTAACCATCTTAACCTCTGTCGTCCCCTTCTCCTCTGCCTTCAACCTTTCCCAACATCAGGATCTTTTCCAGTGCATAGGCTCTTTGCATCAGGTGGCCAAAGAACTGGAATATCAGCTTCAGCATCAGTCCTTCCAATGAATATTCAGGACTGATTTCCTTTAGGATGGACTGGTTTGATCTCCTTGCAGTCCAAGGGACTCTTAAGAGTCTTCTCCAGCATCTTCTCTTGCACCACAGTTCGAAAGCATCAATTCTTCAGTGCCCAAACCCCCAGCATCTGAGAACAGGACAGAGTTGTTTAGGACGTGACAGAGTGCTCTAATAGTTCTTTCTATTAGGAGACAGAGTCTTTCTGCAGGTAATGAAGCTAAAGTGGGGTCATCAGGGTAGGCCCTAACCCAATATGACTGGCGTCCTTAGTTTAAAAAAAAATAGGAAAATTTCGAAACAGATTTGCATAAAGAGAAGACAGTGTGAAGACAGGGAGACGATGACCATCTGTAAGCCATAGCGACGGACAGACAGGAGGAACCAGCCCTGTCCTCACCCTGAAACCCGGAGCTGGGAGAGAACAAATTTCCGCTGTCTAAGCCTCCCTAGTCTGTGGTACTTTGCCCCAGCATCCCTGCAAATGGACCCATCTTTATTTACCATCATTTAACTGATGAGGAGTACAGGCCCTGATGGGGACGTGGCCTCAGGAACCATGTCCAATTAACTGCACAGTTTCTTCCTGGACACAAGCTCTGCTCAAAGCCCAGCCTAGGCACCATGCCCTGTTGAACCATCTACTCATCACTCCCGCCTTAACGTCAGGAGAGGAGAGACTCTTTTAAGTTCGAGGCATAAGTCAGTATTACACCAGCCCCACCATAATCTCTTCGACTGCTGGAATGCTTTTTTTTGAGAAAAGCCTGACAGCCCTGAAGAAATAAGAGGCGTGTTTTGTAGATAAAGTGCTGAAATTCTCCACGTTTATTTTTACTTTTTTGCTTAGCTAATGAAGGCAAAGACTCAATCCCTGTGTGGGCCTCTCAAAACGAGGTTGCAATTGAATTCAGGTAAAATAACTACTAACCAAACCTGGTAATAGGACAGAAAAATACAGCTAGCATAAAAGCACATTCAAGAAGGTATTATGTTGATTTGCATCCCTTCAGTAACAGATACAGTGTTTTATTAGTTTCTGTTCTTATCACAATTCTTCAAAAGCATTGTTTCCTAAAATTTTATACTATATAATACCACCTGTTAAAATAGTACTTAGGGATCTTGGAAATATATTCAATATTAAAACTATCTATGTAGAATATATATTTATAATATATTCTTCTAGAATTGCAACGGGCTTCTCAGGTGGCACAGTGGTAAAGAATCTGCCTGCCAATGCAGGAGGCATAAGAGACTCATGTTCAATCCCTGGGTCGGGAAGATGCCCTGGAGGAGGAAATCACAACCCACTCCAGCATTCTTGCCTGGAGAATCCCATGGACAGAGGAGCCTGGTGGGCTACAGTCCATTGACTCCTTGCAAGGAGTCAGATACAATTTAACAAGTAAAAAACAACACAGTTGCAATATCACTTTATTGGGAAATTGTTCTACTCTGAGGAACTTTTTCTTCCAAAGTATCCTGTTCCTTTAAAAATAGATTTCTCAAATCAATACTGCAATTATCCTTTAATTAAAAATAAATTAAAAAATAGATTTCTCATTTTTGCTTATTACACTGATGCCACTGGAAACTCAGAAACACAAAGTCTCCTGTGTATATAGGTGGATAATCCTAAAATAAAGTTTTACATAATTATTCAGAAAATAGGAACTGAGCAGAGAATCACATAAATTATCAGCCCAAGACAGAACCCTTCTACCCCCTCACTCAGCGTAAGAATTGCTGCTTATCTTCACAGTGTACTTTGCCATGAAGGGATCCTCGTGAACCAACAATTTCCATGTCAAAAAATAGCTTGAATAAAGAAAGAGGGCAAGCAGAAAATTTTTAAAAAGCACAGCTCTGTAGACACTGTTCTTGGCTCTTTGTTTCTTCTGGATGGAGCAGAAGAAAGCAGAAGGTAGTGGAGAAAGGAGGAGTTGTGATGACTACAGAACTTACAAAGTTGGTGACTTTAAAAACTCCCCAGTGTGGGAGGCAGGAGCAGGTGGGACTGGGTCAAGGGCATTTTATGTGGTGGGTGGGTGAGGGGGTAGAATCTAGGGAACCAACCTAGGTTCCTCAAAGTACATTAAAGGACCCCAGAGAAGGCCTTTGGAGGTTTGGGACCCCCCAAATACCAAATACTGAAGATACAAAATCTTTACATTCACATTTTTCTAAAGACTCTAGAAAGGCAGGACTTCTCCGGGGCTTTTTGTTTTACCTTGAATCGCCCTTGGCTCCCCCATCCTTTTCCTCTGTGACTCATCTGTCTTGCTTTTTGGTCAACACGGCTTCTTCTTGGACCTTCAAAGATCTTGGAACAACCTGAAAGAGTATTTCAATATAGTAAACTTTGGGTTTTTTTCCCCAAATACTAAAACCAAGGATCAACTGTACATTTAGTGACAATACCTACTGCTAAAATATTATTTTAAAGTGTCTTAAAAGAGGGATGAACTTAAAATTCTTTCTTCTAAAAAAAGGTAAGGGGGCAGAGTTGGGGCAGCATTTCTCCAAATAAAGTCTTCAGCATCATAAAGCAAAAACTAGGAACGAGATAAAGGCCAAGCTCTAACGGATGTACCGACATCCACGTATACTTTTGCAAAGAAAATATTCTGAAAATCTTGTCCTTTCCTCCCAGCTCCCAGCTTTAGTAATAATAGTTTCCCCAGATGAGTATTTCAGCACTGCTCTCTGCTCCAAACAAAGAGTGATGGGGTTTATTCAACATCCTGAGAACCGTAATTAGACAACTTTTTCAGTCACATGTGTAGATGCCACAAGGATCCCTATTTTTTGCCAGCATAGAGCACTATTAAAAAGCTTTTAAGATGAGAGCAATACTAAAAAAAAAAAAAAAAAATCTTTCTTAGAATACGCCTGTCAGAGCGGCTCTAAAATCCGTTCTCTTATTTTTTGGAGATACAGGAATTTCTGTGCTTCTGCAACTTTCCAAGTCAAATAACCAATCCCAAAATATTTAGCACATTTAACAGGATCCTCATAACATGACGAATTGCAAATGACAGCTTTTTCAGTTGAAAATATTTTCAAATTAGAAAACGTCTTAAGTAGTGCATCAAAATCAATATTTGCAATGGGCGATATTATTTATAGATAGTTTCACAGGCCAGCCAAGCCTCCCACTCCACCCCAGAGGCCCCCAGCCAGCTCCACCTGGAGGCTTGGGCCTGTGCATTGAGACACAGAATGCAAATGGCCCAACTGGTGAGGCAAAGGGTTTGGTAGGACACGGAAAATGCAAATTCTTGGGAGGAAATTGGGAAAATTAGGATACAAAACCATATACAGAGAGTCTGATTCCAATATTATAATAGTGTTGGAGAAGACTCTTGAGAGTTGGGGGGGATACACTGGGAGATTGGGACTGACATATACGCATATGTCTACTACATAAAGCAGAAAACTAATAAGGACCTGATGCCCAGCACAGCGAACTCTATTCAATACTCTGTAATGACCTATATAGGAAAATAATTGGAAAAAAAAAGAGTGGATATATGTATAAGCATCACTGACTCACTTTGATGTACAGCAGAAAGTGACACTGTAAATCAAGTATACCCCCCAAAAAAACATCCAAGAGGGAAGAAAGAGGAGGAGGAAGAGGAATCTCAGGAAGCTCAGTTCAGCTCAGTTCAGGTCAGCCGCTCAGTCGTGTCCGACTCTGCGACCCCGTGGACGGCAGCATGCCAGGCCTCCCTGTCCATCACCAGCTCCCGGAGCTTGAGATCAGAGCCGGAAGTGGTCCTTAGCTTTCCAGCATGAACTACAGGGAGTCTTACTTTCTCCCTTCTAATCGTGGCTATCTTCCAAATTTCAGAATCAAGAACACTCATCTTGATGGTCACAGAAGAGCTACATGATGGTCAGTGGATAACCCTAAGCACATCTGCAACGCGCTGTCTTCACAGTGATGGGAGACAGCCATCTGGCCGTGGAGCCCAGGACCTCCCTGCAGGGTGAACGGCTGCTCTGCAGGAAGGCGGGGGGTGGCGGAGGGCAGCCTGAATTAGGCCATGCTGTGCCCGGCAGCACAGATCTTCAGTTAATTAAGGTGTCTCCAAATCTCCTCCTCTCTAAACCTAAAAGCCGATATTGATTATTTCTTGGTTGAATGCTTTCCACGGACAAGGAGTTAAAATACTAGTTTCCAATCACTGCAAAGGCAACACTAGTTTTAAAAGCCTGGGCTCAAATTCCCTATACTGTGGCATCCTATAGTACACTTTGGTGCCCAAACCTCTTCTCTGCCAAAAGAAACACTTGATTTCCGACAGAATATTGGTGGGCTCGACTTAAAGACAAGAGCAAGGGCCAGAGACGATTCTCTGTGCAATGGGTATTTTTCAATTAGCATGATAATGTTGTTAAAATCTCATCCACCCAGAGGGCACTTTATCTGACAACGTAAATTACCCGTAAGCCAGCTGAGTGGCCTCCAAGGATCCAAAAAGATGTCACGAAGTCTGGGGAGAGAGAGGCTTTGCCAGGGAAAGGCACGCTACCAGCCGCGTGAGGTTAACAGCCGGCCCAATCAAAGCAGAAACGTCAGACAATTATGCAAACCAGACTCAGGAACTCAAAAAACATAGCCATTTGAGAACTCTGCTATGAGAGCAAACTGCTCGAGCCAGCTGAACAGAGCCCCTGGTCCCACAGAGAGCAGATGACAAGAGACATGGCGCCCAACCCTGTCAAGGGCAAGTGGCTGGAACCCCGGTACCTCCCAGAAGAGGGGAGCCCGGCATCCTGCACAGTGACAGGTAGAGGAACACACGTGATCGTCATTGGTGGAAAAGTCTCCTCGGAAGTGGTCACGGCTGAGCATCTCAAGGGCAAAGTTTAATTTGCAAAGCAGTCATGGGGCACAGAGAGACCCGGGCTTGTAGCCAGCTTGGTACCGACCGCCAGCAGCCAGCAGACAGCCCGTCTGCAATGGACAGTGTTTGTGGCCATGCCATGCAGACACAAGCGCCTCGTGTTCAGAGAAGTGCAACCTTCTCATTCCCCAAACACGCTGGACCAGAGGTTGCTTCCTACGCACAGAGATTTTCCTGGCCACCTGTGTCAGCAACAGTGAAGGCATCACAAGCTTAACCTCCGGGAAGATGGACAACCAGCTGTCCCAGAGAGTTGCCTTCTCGCCAGAAAAAACCCTGGACCTTGATTGAACAACAGTCGTCACTGGCAAGAAGGCGCCATGCCCACCAGCAACGCCAGGGATGGTGACGGTGAACGGTCACAGAGGACCCCATTCATCCGATTACAGCCCCGTCCCCGCAGGTGAGGTTCCCAGGCGGCTCAGATGGTAAAGAACCCGCCTGCAATGCAGGAGGAGACCCGGATTCGATCCCTGGGTCGGGAAGACCCCCTGGAGAAGGGAATGGCAGCCCTCTCCAGTATTCTTGCCTGGAGAATCCCATGGACAGAAGAGCCTGGTGGGCTACAGTCCATGGGGTCGCAAAGAGTCAGACACGACTGAGCGACTAACACTTTCACTTTCCCCATAAATGGCAAGGGCAGCAGACACAGTGGCACCCGCTTCTCCTAGCAGAGGAAACCCAATGCCACTTGGGTGTGTAGCCCAACCCCCAAAACACCCTGGGGAGGGCTGACCCTGCCCCAACTTCAGGGGCAGCTCCTATCGCTGGGCACCCATTCCTCGTGCCGTTGGTTGACTTAAAAGGGAGCATGTGATATCATTTGGGCCAATTCAACCCCGGGGGAAGTGAAAGGAAGACTTCTGGAGAAAGTCTCCTGGCCTACAAAGAAAGGTCATCTGCAACTGTCTTGTCTGTATGACCCCTGAGTCATCTCAGGATAAAACCATACACCGTGACATCTGGGAAAAGGCGAAGGCAAACCTCGGGATTCTGCTTAGGATTCAGAAGAATAGGATGAGTCAGTCCTGAAGGCACAAGGCATCGGTGCCTGGTGTCTCTGTTCAAAAGTCTCTGCTAGGAATACAGCAGTGTCGATGTCCAAGAGAACCACCTTCCTCTCCTTGATTATCTGTATGCAACTCAGACAGACACTGTTTGAGGCAAGAGTACTGGAGTGGGGTGCCACTGCCTTCTCCAGAGAGGAGTACAGAAGGGGCGGCAATTCCATCTAGCATCAGGGAGTGGGGTGACATGTTATGGGCGCTTGGTATTCCGTAGGTGGGGATGGGAGGAAGGTACGCAAGGTAGAGGAGACAGATGAGCAGAAGTACGAACGCGAAAGGGAGGCCCGCTGGAGAGGGTCTCTGGCTACAGAGCGCGGTTCAGAGAGGCTGAGAGACTCACCCCTATAATTAAGAAACTACATCGGTGTGTGTCTCCGTCCACCATCTAAGCTCAACCTGCCCTTCAAATCCATTCATTCGTTCAAGTCCTCCATCCATCCATCCATGCATCCATCCATCCACCATCCACCATCCATTATGTATCATCCATCCATTTACCAACATGCACTAAGTCAATTTCCTCCAAGTTCAGTCACTGAACTAAGCACTCACTAGAGGTGGGCTTTGCCATGAGTTCAGGGCCGAGTGGGAAACACAAGGGTGTAAAGGCACAATCACAAATACCAGCCCCCCCAACACCTTGCTTGACCCTCCAGCTGCAGAAAAACTCCCACAGGGGAGTTATGCCGGCAGGATCCAATTGAGCACAGCATTTGAACTACTTGAGAGACTGATGGATAGGAGATGGACAGCCAAGCACAGAGGCAGGAGCAGTCAGAGAATTAGGAGAACGTCAGAAAAGGTCCCGGCCTTGGATGCCGAGGAAGGACCTTCAGTGAGGCAGAAACAGTTCACATCATCCATGTGCAGAAAGCTGAGTAAAAATGAGCAAGTCAATCAACCAACCACACACGTTGAATAAACGGTACTGGATGTGGCAAGTCAAAAACCTCTGGGTGATCTCCAACGTGGCCAGTTTCCAAAGGTTCACTAGCGGAAGGTTGGGAGGATATGTGAAGGTCAACACAGGCTCAGGAAAGACGCTGATGGACAGGGAGAAAACGGGAGAGTGTTCAAGGGAAGAGGCACCACTGTGTTCACCAATTCAACATTTGCTGCATGCCTACTGCGTGTGAGAAATAGCCAGCAGCCAGGGTTGGTCCCATGGTTCAGACCCCAAGCTTCCACTACAGGGGGCGAGGGTTCAGTCCCTGGCTGGTGAACTGAGATCCCTCATGCCACACATCATGGTCAAAAAATCTAATAAAATAAAATAATCATTAGAAAAAAAAAAAGAAACAGCCAACAGCTAGAGTGCGCAAGACTCAGTCCTGCCCTGGATTAGATGACA